AGGAGGGATGGCGGGAGGGAGGGAAAGGAAAAAGAAAGAAGCCAATCAGATGATTGTGTGATGGATACTAAAGTTTGATTAGCTAACTTTTGCAAAATGCAATGGGGCCTGTGAGCAAACATTAGAAGAGCCCCCACATTATTTGGAAGATGGGGTCTGCAGAGGTGACACACAGTTTGCAGAGTTGGGGTTCCATCAAAAATATCTGAACATCTTGGACTTGAGATTTCTGAGGTTGACATGGAGGAGAAACCTTACAACCCTGCCTCAGTGTGACCTCATGACAGCCTCTGCGGCTCCCCTTCTCAATCCGTCAACATGGAACAGAAACTAGAACACCCAGCCCTAACTGGGACACTAAATTAACAGTGTGACCACCCCATGTCCTTGTTTTCCACCCTGAATGTATTATATGATTTGCATCAACTGAATCATCTACCTTACAGTTCTGAGTAGGTGAAATGAAATTTCACAGACAGGGCTTTAGAATGTTTTATGATCACTGTTTTGTAGGAAGAATATCAATGAAAGGCTTGTTCTTGTCTCATGTCCACACAACTGCTTTCCTTAGCTGGGGAAAAAGCAAAGGTTGAAGTCATTGTCCTTTAGCTTTATGAATTAACAGTCATGAGACCTATGTGCCAGGGTAGTGAAGAGGATTGTGGTGCCTCCCTGGTATCCCCCACCCCTGTCTGTCCCAGATCTGCTAGGCTAGCTTTAGTCCAGACACCTTGGCACAATCTGTGCATAGCTTGACAGATCTATGCAGCTCAGGGGACATTCTTCAGTGCTTCATGTTGCTCTTGCCAGGGCACAGGGATGCTCCTTCTTGATCCCTAAAGACAAGGGCTAAGGATTTAGCTCAGTGGTTTCGTCACCTGCTGCGCAAGCGCAAGGACCTGAGTTCGATCCCTGGTACCCAAAACACACAAACAAATAAATAGACAAATGCACTTTCATAGACACCACCCACCCCATGCTCAACCAGGTTCTCAGTTTAGAAGGTCTGAGTCTACAGGGGCCTCAGCCTGTGCCCTGGTTGAATCAGGGCCAGGTATTCTGCACAAACCTGGAGAACGTGTACACTAACCCATGCACCTGCTAGGACAGGCAGGACATATGAATGAGAGAGGCAAGGCTGGAAACTACAGCAGATATGCCAAGATGCATCTTCCAAGGTATTCATTGCCTCTGCCTGGTCCCTTCTCTTGACGAATGTAAGGACAGGCTCAGAACCCTAGAGTTCTCTAGTCTAAGGGACACCAAGCCTCTTTCTTATTCCACTGGCTGCTGTCATTATTGGAGATGAGCTTCTTGGGGCATCATCTTTGCAGCCATATCGAAGTAATGAAAAGCACCTTAGGCAAAGTGTTTGTGGTAATGCATGAAATCAGTAGTTTTCAAAGGGTAGTAATCAGGCCAGGAGCATCACACCACCTGGGAAGTTGTTACAACTGGGGCCTCACTTGTGCCCAGTCCCTGGGAGAGGGGCTCTGTAATCAAGCCTGCTAGGCAATTTTGAGCCTGCTAAATTTGAGAACTATTGCTTTTAGCCAGAGAATTTCAAGCTTGGCTGCATATTAGAATCATCTGGAGAGATATAAATGCAGCCAGTGCTCAAAATATAACCCAGACCAATTAAATCAAAAGCTCTGCAGGTGAGACCCAATATTTTTTTTAAAAAACACATTAGGATCCCAGTGTGAGCCAAGGTAGAGAACCACTACTGTAAAACCACAGCACATAACCAAATTAATTCCACGGAGTAGTGATCATATCTACTGAAACTGTTAGTGATGGCTGAAAGAAAAGACCACAACATGACAAACTGACCTAAAAAGTTCAAAAATTGACTGAGTCCCATAGGCAAGGTAGAGCAAGGACTTGGGCATGAACTGGGCACAGTGCAACTGATAACACAAGCTCTTTTCCCTTTTGGTCTCTTGCATGTTCTTGGTGAGAGAGAATCACTTAACACTGTAAGAGAGAGAAAAAGGGTAGTATCTTGTGAGGATCCAATGCCATAATAGATGTGAATCTGTTTTAATATAGAGGCTTAGTTCAAGGTGGGATTTTTTTCTAGAAGCCAAAGTCAGAAAAAGCAGATCTTACTCATAAATGACTTTGTCTATTAAAGTCCTTCAGTCCTTTTAGCACCACTGAATTTAATCAAAAGGCTTATAAGGCAGCCCCCATCCAGGTTTTTATTTCATCTTTGAATGAGATCATCCTTCTGGGCTCTTGTACCTGCTTCCTCCTCTGAGGCACAGTGCGTGAAACATCACGTCTGACCCTCTGACATGGACCGGCTCAGTTTAGCAACATCCTGTCTCTACAGTGATTCCTACCTTCAGAGCTACGTGAGGTCATTTCAATTCCAGTTGGAAAACCATGTCCCCTGATTTGGATGGCTTCCCAATGGGCAACTCACCTGGGTGGCTGATTCACGAATCTGCTCTGTTTCTTGAGTATTATGAACCTAGAAGCTGAAGAAGGAAGGAGAAAGGGCGGAAAAGTCTGAAGTCTTACACGCATCTGTGTGCATACAGAACCGCAGGCTTCTATTCTAACATTGAGAGCTGCCTTTGACAAGTCAAGGTACCCAGAGGGTAGATGTCCATCCTTGATTGCTTTGTCTACAGTGCTAATTCTGCATCCTCTCTGTACGGACAGCACAGATGTCATGACACCTTTGAGTTCCTTGAAGGGTCTACTCCCACAAAAGCAGTGGCCTGATAGATTTTGCTCAATAATATCCATCAGAATGGAGTGCTTCTTCCTTCTGTGGCATACTTCAAAGCACATGACTTAAAATCATCATGGAACTTTCTGTTCTCCAAGATTTCTTTAACTTCAACCCCTAAAGTTGTGTTTTTGGTCTGCTCTCAATTTTAAGATTTTTCCCATGGGAATTTCAAAAAACTTCTCACCTCTAATTGCTTTTCCTAGGACTGATGGTGGAGAGAAGGTTAAATGATAGGAAAAGGAGACTGCTCAGTATCCCTGTATCCTCTTGAACTAGGTCCCCAGTGATTTCTCCTTTTGTCCCTTTGTCACTGATATTCTTGGCTTTGGCTACCAACCAGAAGCTCTGGACAACTGACTTTGGCTTTGTCTTTCAACTGGATTTGGGAGGCACCTTCCCTCTCCGGAGAGACACCTGCTGATCGTTGCTTTGGCTTACTACTCAGCTGCTGGGTAATATTTATTCACAGAATTTCTGCCTGGGGATTTGATTACAGCCTAAATCTCTGTTATGGTTTGGATCTAAAATATCCCCTAATGCCATGTGTTGAAGGCAGGGTTGCCAGCCAGTAGTGATATTGGGAGGCAGTGGTACCTTTAGGAGGTGGGGCCTAGCTGGCGGAAGTGACATCACTTGGGGGCGTGGCCTTGAAAGGGATATTGGAACCTCAGCTGTTTCCCTCTCTCCTTACTTCCTGGCCTCCTTGAGGCGGGCAGCTTTGCGACTCCCTACCTTGATTTCTGCCTCAGGCCTAGAAGTCCCCGGAGTAAGCAACCACAAACTGAAACCTCCGAAGCTGTGAAATAAAACAAATCTTTCCTTTCTTCACATTGGTTCTCCCCAGGTATTTGTCACAGAGATGGCAAGCTGGCAGTCCCTCTGGTTGTGGCTAAAGTTCTTTCCCCTTCATTTTATCCTTGGTAAGGGAGCATGCCCACTTTCACAAAAACTCCTGGCAGATGGATGAAAGAGAGCCTCTCCATTTGTATTTGAAAAACAAACAAAAGAGCAAAAAATTGTTCTCTTCTATCTTATTCCAGATAAAGAATAGCTGGAGATCTTGGAGTCAGGTGAATGAGATGGCTTCTCAGCTCTTGACATTTGCCACCTTATCGAAGGCAGCAGGTGAGCATCCCCAAGTTGTGTTGACCGATGCTATATATCACCAAGGAAAAGAGACCAAAAATAGACTGTAGAACGATGTCTTCAAATGCTGTCTCTTGACCTTGTATTTTGGGTGAAAGGATTAAAGGAGTGAAGGTAAAAACATAGACTGTTTTAATGCCAAAAGTAAAAATGCTGTGCTGAACTGCCTCTGATGGTTAGAAATGTGGCTTTAAAAATATATAAAACTTACCTTTACATCTTCTAACCAAAGCTTTTTTTTTAATCCAAGTAAGTACAAAAGTAAAAAGAAGAAAATTTTAGCTTACAAAATAAACCTGAAGAACAGGTGTGGCCCAGAAACAGTTTGTGAGATGGGGTTCTGAAATGCAGAGACATGATTCTCTTCCCTTCCACTGGTGGTAAACAGGAAAGTTATTGCAACATATGAGCAGAGTATTTTTTTTTTTTTTTTTTTTTTTAAGTAAGACTTCAGAGCTAATAGGAGAAAACACAAACTAGAAAACTCTATGTTCATTTTAAGAGAGGAAGATAAATGTGAAGGACCTTTCCCACACAGCAGGGGCTGTTTACAATCACTGTTCAAATCAATCTTGCTCCAGCACGTGTAGCACATCCCTTCATCACGGGCTGGTTCCTTTTTCTTGCCTCTGCCCACCAGCTCCTCTCCAGCCTGAATTGCTGCCTCTGACAGAATTGTGGCTTTTTGAAGAAATAAAACCTAGTTTTACATCTTCTATCCAAAGCTTTCTTTTAATACAAGTAAGTCAAGGGGCTCAATTTCAAACTGTGTTTCTAGCAGTGTGTGTGAAGTGCCTGCCCCCAGGGTAGGGCTTGGCTGCAGGGTTACTTCATAGGCAGGACAGGGCGGGACAGCCTTTTCCAGCACCCAAATTCTTCCATTCTCACTCAGTTGGAGACCCTTCTGATGAGGCCAGCACGTGGAGAACTAAAACACAAGTCTAAGGATTATGGGGAAATATGGGTCAGTTGGGGCTTTGCAGGTTGGTTTATTTTCCCAGGTGTTGCTGCTGACTCTGCTGCTGGGGGGTGGGGTGGGATGAGCTGGGCTTTGCCGGAAGGTTGGGAAAGGACAGAAGCCTCTAATCCCATGACGGACCTCTGAGTCTGTCTCAGAGCCTAAGGAAAGAGCTTCCCCAGAGCTTGTAGACATCGTGGTCTCTATACCCTTTAGCTTCTTAAAAATTATTGCAAATGTTGATGATCTTTTGCTTGTATGACTAAAGTTTAATGATATTTGTCATGTTAAGATTTAACATTGTGAGAAAAAAGTAAATATATTACATGGTAAGATAAACAATATATTTTATTGAAATCATTTATAGTTTTCCAAACAATAAGTGAAAGGAATAGCATTGTTAAACGCTTTGCAAATCTTAATGTCCTACTTAGTAGAAAACACGTAGCTGGATGCTCATATCTGCCTGTGCCTTCAACCTAGCAGGAGGTCACATCGTGCAGTTGCTGGAAATATTCACTCTATGCTCACAATGCTCATGGGACTAATGAGGCGGGAAAGGCACATAGCTATTTAGGCTTATGATTAAAGTAGTTTTGATCTTGTGAACCTGAGAAGGTCTTGGAGGCCCCAGGATTCCCTGGAACAAACTCTAAGAACCACAGTCATCCTTGAACACAGGTGGTTCAAGGTGATTTTAGGTGGGTAGATAGAGGCTCATTTTTGGCTGTGTTACATTTATGTGTTTATGTGTATTAAGAGGTACGTTCCCTTTTATATAATTGATATAATTTTTATCCTTAGTGGTAGAATATTACTTTAAAAATTAGTTTTTTCCTTCTACGCACACACATATGACTTATTGAAGGTTTCAATTACATATTTACCCACTCATACATTCATTTGTTCTTTCAACAAATATTCACTGTTGCCCATCCCTGCACACTGTAGTCTGGTCTCTGAAAATAAAGAGGATGGAGATGGGAATGGATTAGCTTAGTGGGCTTTAGTGCTCTGTTCCTCTCTCATGACCCGAGGAAGGGCCTGAGTGTGGGAAGGCTAAGGATCTGTTTTCTAGAATCCCCACGGGTAGGTAATGCAGTGGGGTTTCCCGGGGAACCTGGCCAGGCACCAGATCCCTGCTGGGGGGGCATGAAGGAGGCTCATCTTCGAGCATTCCCTTCAGAGTCTACTCAGCATGCCAGGTTACTCAGCATGCCAGGTATTGTTCCATGCAGTCCTGCCCTGATCTTCTCCCCCGCCCACTGTGGGCCTCTGCCAGACTCTTTTTGTGCACAACCGGCCTTCCACTTCCAGGCCTCCTTTTCTCCTCCATGCCCACCCAAATCACATAACTTCGTGGCCTGTCTCCTTCTAGAACCTCATCTGAGTCATCCAGTTAGAATTAAACATGCTACCCTCATGGATTGCGCATTGTTTTACTTGTGCCTCTCTTTCACGCTTAACTTCTTTCAGGCTTTTTTCACTAGAGGCTGCTTCTGAGAACTGGATTTTGACTATTCTCCCTGCCTCCCAGGTTGGGCTCAACTGTGTTAAAATAAGACTAGACCATCTCATGCGTGATGCACACACAAGCCACAGCCTCTCATCACTCTCAGGATCAAGTTGAGCCTTCAAGGCTGTGCATGCCCTGCCCTCTTCCTCTTGCCTCAGCTGCAAACCCCTTGAGAGCAGGGACCAGGGCTTAGGGATGTTTTATTCTTTAACATTTCTAGCACTTGTCTGGCACAGAGTACTCAAAAAATAGATATCAGAATGAAACATTCATTGAGTAAACTGGTTTCTACAAGCCAAGGGCAGGCTCGTTTCCTCTTCCATGCAAACTGGCCTGATGTTCTACCTTTGGTGGCATAGCTGGGTGAGGGAGTGGAGTGTAAGGGGTGGTCCACCCCCAGTGGCACACTTTTTGAGTGGTATTATTGGCCGAAAGGAAAATTATGATGTAGCAATTTACTCCATTCAGATATGTTGGAGTGTGGCAAATTCGAGGACTACCCCAGCAGCATGAACTGCTACTATGGCACTCTCTACTTTCATCGTTCCATATTCTTTCAGTGTGATTTAGGAAAAACATTTGTTCACTTATAATTATTTGAAAAATATTCAGATTATTTTCTCCATTTTAAGAGGTTCATAGCCAGCAAATTCTCTGCATCAGCAATGGACTGGCTACTGGTTGCTTTCAGTTCTTCTTGGAAGAACAACAAAAGTTTCTGCCAGCTTTTGTCTCAGAGAGCCTCATAAGAAATCGAGTGAAAAGTCCCGACATTGCTTTTTACTTTGTGGGAAGAGGAATCCCTGAAGCTAAAGAAGATTTGGCAGAGGAGCCAGAGGCCGCATTTTCCTGGTAATAGCACATCCAAAAGTCTTCTCTTCAACCCATGGACCTGAGCACATTCCCACACATCACCACCTCCTCCTCACATTGTCTGAGTCTGAGCATTTTCCATTCTGTGTCTTAGTTCCCACATCTGTCAAGTGGAGATGTGCTACCTGGTTCTCAGGAGACAAAATGGAGACTCCACAGTGAACCATTGTGTATCTATGGAAAGCAGCTGTGTAGTACTCTCCTGACCCCTTGGCTTTGTTTTTCATTAAGTTTATTGGTGCATTTTAGGTATACAATATGATGACATTCATCATTGGGATCTTGTACCTTTACATGATATATCTTGGTTCTTATTTTTTTCTCCATTCTCCTGCCCTCCCTTCAACCCCTCCATCTCTTCCTATTTACAAAGACTTTGTTTCTGTTTTTTCCTTTTCTCATATTCATTCCTTTCTCTTCTTTCCTTTCTCCAATTCCTCTTGCTTTCCCTTCCCCTTCCCCTTTGGACCTCTTTTCCCTATTTCACATTATCTATTATACGTTTTGATCTTTTATTGTATGCTATATCTGACTTCATAAGGTTCTAAAGGAAATGTCCACATACTTGGGATATGCTTGTATCTGGTACTAGCCTGATTACCCCTGAAGCTTCCACCTCCCCCAAAATGTGGAAATGAATTTGAAGAGGCCATAGTCACTGGTTTTGAATTCAAGCCTAAAAAAGCACAGACTAGGCCAGGCATGGTGGCACACACCTGTAATCCCAGCACTTGGGAGGCTGAGGCAGGAGGATCACTGTGAGTTCAAGGCCAGCCTGAACTACATAGTCTCAAAAAAAAAAAAAGCACACAGACTTGGGATCTAGCCAATTAACTTTGCTTTGAGCTTGTGGCAACCTTGCTTTTCTTTATCTCTAAAGTGATGGGGTTAGGGGAGAGTCAAAAGGAGAGTTGGATTTTCAAACTTTTTTTTCTTGACTATGGAAAACTTTTTTTAAGGAAAAGCTCACAGGGGATACAACTATGTGAATAAACTCTTGGAGCTGCTGCTGTGTTTAAAATAGGAATCAGAACATGGTGCCTACATTCCTTCATCAGTCTAAGCAAGAACTGTAGGGCTTCTATGAGCTGAGTTTAAAAAAAGCCCATGAATATGACCCAGTCATTCCACTCCTATGTATTTACCCCAGAGAAATGAAAAACATATGATCACACAGACACTTACATGCAGATGTTTATTGCAGCCTTTTGGTAATAGTTCCAAATTGGAAACAACCAAATGTCCATCAATAGGTGAATGGACAAAGAAACTTCTATTTGTATACTGGAATTCTGCTCAGCAATGAAAGGAATGAATGAACTACTGACATGTGCAGCACCATTAGTGAACCTCAAATTTTTGATGCTGAAGTGACAGAAGCCAGGCCATAAAAAATATATACTGTATTTGGCAGTTAATCTTAATTGTCAACTTGACTAGATTGAGACTCCTGGAGAGATGATTGGATCATGAGGGTGACAAATTCATCAATGGATGAATCCACTGATATTCATAGCTAAGTGTGCTGCTAGGAGGTGGAGTCCAGTAGGAAGAGGTTGGTCAAGGGTGTATCTCTCACTGGCACTTTCCACCTGTGTTTTGCTTCCCAGCTACTATGAACTAAGCAGCTTT